GCTCCTGGTTACATGCAGTGGTTGTACCAATTTTCTAATCCTCGTCTTTCTCCTGGTGGGTCATCAGATGGGAGTACCAGACTACCTGAGAGGACTAACACGGACTATGTAAGTAGTTGTGTTTTATTATACTGTAAATACCACTTAAACAAATTGTAATTTCTATAATTAATATGTTGTTCTCTTATTTGAAGTGGATTGGTCGGTCCTTGGAGATTCACCGAAGAGCACTAGATGAGTATCCCAGCATGTCGCGTGGAACAAGGGCAATGACTGAGCAGCTGATAGTTGACTGGAAGGCGATGATGGGGTTGTGAATTATTTGTCTTTTAGTTTTATATTAGCTAATAGTCATTGTTTTACACTACTTTGTATTCGGCATGTAATTTAAGAACTAGAGATTTATTTAATATTTGGTTTTGTTGAAACTTTGTTTAATTACTTTTATTGATTTATATTACATAGCTACAACTATTCAACCTAAGTCAAAGTACATAAATGAGTTCACTGGCTAATTAATGCATCCCACATGTTCCTTCTAACTTTATATTGCTGATCCCATCCGTCAACACTTGGCTCGTGGTGCTCGGTAAGGGTGGCAAAAACTGACCCGACCCGAAAACCCGACCCGAACCCGACCCGAAAATAGCGGGTTTGGGTTGAGATTTTTGACCCGAAAACTTAAATGGGTTGACACGAACCCGACCCGAAATTAAATGGGTTAGGTTAAGGTTGAAAATTTCAACCCGAAAATGACCCACTTAACCCGAAAATTTAAAAAAAAAAGAAAAAAAAAGAAAAAAAAAAAAAAAAGAAGACTACTACCAACCCAAGCCCAAATCTTTAAGCATAAACCCTAACTCATTTTCACTCTCACAAGCCGTCACCTACATTTTCTCTTTCCTTCTTCTCCTTATCTCTCTTCACTCATTCTCCTCCTTCTATATCCCTCTTCATCCATTCTCTTCTCCTTATCTCTTCTCATTCGTTCTCTTCTCCTTCTCTATCTTCTTCTAGAATGCTTCAATTCATCCAGAAAATCCGAATTTGAACTTCTCTTCTCTGATTTTTGTGAATTTTGTTCTTTATATTCGAATAATCCTTAAAAGCTCCTATTTCTCTCTCTTCACGCGAGCAAGTCAACAATGTCACGTGAGTAAGCTAGCCACCGTCACTGTCACAGCAAGCCCGACCGACCACCATCACTGTCACCGTCTATTGTTGGGGTTTTTTATACTTTAGATCTAGTTTAAATTTAGGTTAGATTGTAGATCTAGTTTTATTTTTCTCAAATTTCTGATTATAATTTTTTTTTGATGAAATTATAATGTAAGTATATACATTTTGTTCCTGATAATCGCCTATTCTTCATCGATCTAGTTATTCTGATTTTTTACATATTTTTTTCTGGTTTTTTTTTTGTTTTTTTTTTTTGCGATTTGTTTGTATTGTTTTCTGGGTTTTTTGTTTGAATATTTTTCTGGGTTTTATGATTGATAGATCCAGAAGAATTCAAGGAATGTTGTGTATAATATGTTAAAAAAATTCGAACAGAAAAAAAAAACAAGTCGAATCAGGTCATTTTCGGGTTGACCCGAACCTGAAAATATCAAGTTCGGGTTGGGATTTTCAACCCGAAAACTTAAATGGATCAGGTTCGGGTTGGGGGTCACCTGACCCGAAACTAGGTGACCCGAACACGAACCCGACCCGGCCTGATCCGTTTGCCACCCCTAGTGCTCGGTCCACCATCCTGTAATCGGGGGAAGAGGTGAATTTTCTACATGGTCAATACGGATGAAATGTGACCCCCTAACTGTAGTGATCACAAACTCTCGAGCGGGTGCCCTGACCGTGCTTCGTGCCCGCAACGGTAAGATCGTGAGGCATGGGTAGTAGCAGATTGGTACGGTGCCTACACTAAGAATAATAACCCTTGCGTTGAACCAAGTAGCAATAGGAAATAAATCTTGAATTTCAACCATCCAATGTCGTGAATCAACCGCCCCACCATCCCATCGAATACGTTCCACATTCATCAAAACCCTTCCAATCCCGTAAATCCTTTCGTACAGGAATGGATGAGCGGCGACCTCATTTGCTATTATTTCCCGAGCGTCAAACCATTGCACTTGATCATCGAAGAAGTCGACCACACAACAAAAGCCACAGTTGCCACCAATGACATCTTTCCATGCCGTGATGTAAGGCAACATCGGTCCTGGAAGCAAGTGCAAATACCTGCAGTGGTGGATGTCACATGGATCTACTTTTTCTGCACAAAATTAATGTTCAGTTATTAATACGCTACAAGATGAAATATGCCTAAATCATAATAGCCAATCGTACCTGTTTGTTGTGCACCACGTCGAGTGTTTCAACGGTTGACATGTTCGAAATAACAAGGATCCCGTCTTGTATAATTGTTCCTTCGTCGACGTCGAATGTTGTGGTTTACATGTGGATCTTCAAGGTTTGAATGATCCGGATGCAGCTCCTCCTCAATGATGCGAGATACATTTTGAAGTACAGCAGGATCACTACCAATGACCTCATCAACTAGGGAACGTAAATGTGCAGCTTCCTCGGTCGAGTCGTTAACGAACACCAGTACATCAACACCATCATCGATAACCAAGGTCTTTCAGAACGGATGAATTTGCCTTATATACAAGCCTTTTTATGCAACTAGCAAATCATGTATCTAGTAAGCACATGGCAAACCGTGGGTCACACGCATTGCACATCCACAACGCTCATACACCTGATAACTCAACTCCCTCATCCTTCTCGTCTCGTCATCGAGAACTTTCAAACAATGATGAGACACCTTGCCGTTAATACGTGACAGTGGCAATTATCTGTACTTCTCACCAATCTTCGACCTAGACGCTCCAAACCATTACGAATTGCAATGATCTGATTACCAATATGACAATGTACTCGGGCCCATACGGTATCCAAAGATCATACCGTTGATTAAAATTATAAAATACCGTTACGATTTATAATTAAAATAACTAAAACGAAGTAAATACATCAACTACAACATAATATCAACGAACCTGTCGAAGATTCAAACCACATCTTCACAACCAAATGTTAGCTCTCAACTCTGCAAGTACTCGTGTTACCTAAGTGAAGAACTTGGTTCGTCCAAAATGTCACAAATTTCGTTTTATGACAAAGCCATGTTCTCTCAACATAACTAATCACTGCTTAATAACTTGCCCACCGAGCCTTCATTGTATCTACAGCAACATTATAATCTGCCTCGGTTGCATCATCCATGATACGTTTCCATTTTCCGTTTTTGAAACTCGCACCGATCCTTTTGTTTTTGAACATATCAGTGACCCAAGCCTCCACATCTTTGTTAATGTGTCATCGACAAAGTAAATGCGACGTCCCTCTCTCAATGCTGCACACAGGCCAAGCTTACGGTCTGTCAAAAATACCGAGGGTTCCTTATCATACCCAATCAACTCTCTTAATCTCTGCAAAATCCACCGATAGCTTGTCGTGCACTCGTTGCGCATAAACACATAACCGGCGAGGAAATTCTGATTTGTCGGTGTCACACCAACTATCTCAAAGAACGACATCCCGTATCAGTTGGTCTTGTAAGTCGAATCCATACCGATCACATGTGGGTACGTGCGTAGTATGTTTACCGTGATTGGGTGCACCATAAACGCATGCTGTAGAACACCAAGATCATCAGACATGACCCAGTAAATTACTGACTCTGTCTCGCCAAATGAAGAAATTGCTGAACAACTCCTCTCCCATCAGACATCTCCGTTCTCAAGTCATTCCAGCAACTGTAAATATGTCTGATGTTTGGATGATCATCAGAAAATTGCTTTGCAATAGTCGCCAAGATGTTACGCGGTGCAACCTTCGACTTTGTCATGTCACGCACAACCTTCTTCGCATCCGGGCTCAAGCCACTAATTTTACGATGACCCTCCTGATACACAATCATTGGATGGTTATGGGTCCCAGTTGCATCATTTTTTGCCCGGATCTTCCAACTATTGATGATGAACTCATAATATATCTTGATGTAGAAAGAACAACTAACAACAACAACAACAACCACAACAACCACCACAACCACAACCACAACCACCACAACGACAACAACGACCACAACCACAACCACCACAACGACAACGACAACGACCACAACCACAACGACCACAACAACAACAACAACAACAACAACAACAACAACAACAACAACAACAACAATCATAATAATAATAATCAATAACATAAAAAAAAAAAAATCTTCTGAAAATGGGACTTCCGCCCAGAACATCCGGATCCTCCATGGAGGATCCACCTAAGATTTCCGGATCCGCCATGGAAGATCCTGAAATTCCAGGCGGATGTATTTTAGAAAAAAAAAATAAAAATTCTACGACTTACAGATTCTTCCGACGATGCCTCCGGTGTACGATCGTTGTCGTCGTTCATCGTCCAAAACCCGTCGCTAAACCTTGATAGTTTTTTTTTTTGAAAAATTTAGATTTTTGGTGGTGGGCTCGAGATTTTTCACTAGGCGAAAAAACGAATTCCCCACCGGTTCAAACCCCCCTTTTCCCACCGGTTTTGAACCGGGTTGTATTTGGGGGGTGCTAAACCCCCATAGATTTCGCAACGGTTCAAAACCGGTGGAAAAAAGGACTTTTCGCAACAGTTCTTAGGGAAAACCGGTGCCAAAAACTAGAATTTTTGCACCGGTTTTGTCTTAGAACCGGTACCAAAAGTCTCCAAAATTATTTAAAAAAAAAACTTTTAGCACCGGTTCTTTACCAAAACTGGTGCCAAAGTGCCCCAAACAAATAAAAAATAAAAATAAAATTTTTTTGCATTTTTTTCACTTAAATTGTACCAAATAGTTATATATAACCATAATATACATAAAACACATATATTTTCATCAATAACTTGTAATATTACACTTTTAAAAATTAAAAAAAAAAATGGACATATAAACACTAACATATATATAAAAAAAATGGACATATAAACACTAACATATATATTTTCTTCAAAAACAGCATACTGTCCTGGTCTTGTGCTGGTGGCTGCTCTGCTGGATGGTGTGTTGTTGTTTGTTTAGGCTGATAGACTAGTGTAATCCCAGCATTGTATTTGGTGAATGAACCGGATGCAGTATCAAATGCCATTTCCCCACCCAAGCTAGTGTCCTCATTGCCAATGAGGGGAAGGATTCAAGCTAACTCAGTTAACTGCAGCATGATAATTCTGGTAGTGCACATCTAATTGTATCAATACAAATAAACATCAGGCATAAATCAAAAGAATCTAAAAATTCACTATTTTTATAAGTTGAGCCATTAGCTACTAAATCTTGTAAATATCTGAAACTCATTTCTAACTCTTGTAGATACAGGCTGGTTTGTGACTTGTGAGTGCTCAACGTTAACTATTACAGGCCTCTAGACTCAACAATCCTGAATAATACCATACATTGATGCTAGTAGTATATAACGATTCAGGCAAGATACAGAAAATTAGAACTGAAATGTGACCCTTAATAGGAACACCCATTAACAATAGAACTTAGCATACATGCCAGGCATGTTAACTATTACAGGCCACTAGACTTCACAATCCTGAATAATCCCATACATTGATGCTATTAGTATATAACAATTCTAACAAGATACAGAAATTAGAGCTGACATGTTACCCTTAATAGGAGCAGCCATCAACACTAGAGCTGAGCATACATGCCAGACAGAATAGTGGTCACAGGATCCTACTACTTGTAATGCCAACAATTTAAAGCAAGAAAAGAGATCCTGGCACCTTAAGCTGGCTATAGAAAAAAAAATACTTAAGTTGTGCATATTTGCTAATTTAGTCATAAATAAATTCTACATAAGAAATAACCCCTTTACTGGACATCCTAGAATATTAAGCGACTATGACTGAGTAATTAACATACCTTTATATTGAATCCTGCTTTTGCACTGGTCTCCAGGAAAATTTCCCCTGCATCACGAGCCTTATTATCTCCTTCTTCTATAAAGACTTGCCTGTTCAAATCTTCAATGTCAAAACATTCTAGCATAAACACTTTAAAATGCTATAAGAGCTTCAGCAGAAATTTTACATTACTAGTACATGGTTTCACCCATGTACTTGTGCATTAAGGAAACGTAGAAATATAAGAGCTTTAGTCAAGACAAATTACATCATAGGTAAACTTTCATGTGTCCTTAAGGCATTAACATGTAAAAATGATCAAGGTTGAAGTCATTAGCATACAAAGCACTTACTAGAAACATCATAGACGATAACAGCAACTGAAGAATCTCTGATGTAACTGGGAATAAGACTCCGAAATCTTTCCTGTCCAGCAGTATTCCTGGAATTAGCAGTTAAAGGTTCAGAACATGGGACAGAATCATATAAATCAAGTCTACAAGACAACAAGTTATATTGGTAAATCATTAAATCGTCATGAGATGGAAAATCTAGAGATAAATTTTTCTGCTATTATAAGCAATGAGTTTAGGGCGCTTAAGAAATTTGTTTGTTACTGCTTTAACATGAATATATATTAACTGACAAGACATTTGACGGTATCATACCAGAGCTGCAAGCGCACTGTTCGGTCTTCAAGATACATGGTTTTCGACAAGAAGTCAATCCCAATAGTGGCCTGCCATTAAGTTGACATTATTAAAATATATCAAAATAATACATGTCCTAGATTTCAATATACATCAAATACACAATAAACAATACCAAAGAATAAGAGTTGCACATACGGCTATACCAACATGATTTCATGATGATGTAACCTGAAGTTTGGATGGCCAAAATTATTTTGGAGTATTACTTTATACTTGTAGGATATTAGGATCTTACTAATTTCCAATTCTAAACTTGTCCATTAGATATTGAGAAATCTCCACTATATATTAAATAGGCAAACTCTAGGATGAGAAAAATATACTATATAAGTAAAGCTTACAAATTTGAAAAGGAAATGCAAATTTTATTACAGGAAGTTGAACTCATCTCCTATGACAATGTGGCTCAGTGGTTGATATCATTCATAAAAAATCATGGCAATCTATAATTATATTGTTGGCCATGAAGTGCAAACTATCGTTTAGTACAAGTCATGCTTCCCACGGAAGATTTTTTTTTTAAAAAAGAACTCGGTATCATGCATCTTGGTTTTATCAAAGACGTCCTTATTTGACTTTAAAACTTCAAGTTTCTGGATGGTGCAATATACCAAATTACCAATTACTAGTGTATATAATTACGGGAAGAAAAAAATTTAATTTTGATGACTGATATCTGAATCATAGCCAAAATTAGATGATTCGTACCAAATTTATCCTACCTGAAACTAAGGTTGGGATTGATTCTATCTGAAACTAAAGTCACCAAACCCAAACCATAACAAAATGACCCCATTGTCACCTTTAAAAGCCCCTACTTGGATTCATGCCTCTGATTCTATGATCAGTCAACAAATTACAGAACCATGCACTTGATTGCGGAATGACAAATCTTTGACAAACTATAATTCCTAGTACATATTGTAACAAAATTGCAATTGTATCCTAAATTAATGAAAATTCTCTAGAAAAATTTGTAATCCTAGCGTGAAACAGGGTAAGTTAGGCACAAATACACAATTCAATAAAATAAAAAAAAAATAAAAAATAAATAATAAATAAAAAACAGCAAAATTAGGCATAAAATCATATCATTTGAAAACAATTAGACAAACTAACATCAATTCCAACAAATTCAGCAACCATAAAGGACTTCCTTAGCTTAACAGCAATATATCACAAATTTCCAGCAAAATTGAATATCAAAACTTTGACCAGTGATAGGTAGACAAGATTTAAAAGAAATTGATGCTTCTAGGATAGCAATTCATACCCTGTAAGTTGTAAGGTCAGATAGTCATGTTTCAATCTTCAGTATTTTAAACTGTGGACAGTAGTTGTTTCTCTTCACATAATTTTTCTGAAAGAACAAAAGAGTATTAGATAATTTGCTCAGATCCTCTTTCTCGTAGTCACACTAATGAGAAAGACTAGAAACGTTTCTGATCAAATAGAGCATGATGAAATAGACAAGAAGGATGATAGAGCATGCAAGTTTACAGCAGTTCAACAAAGATCATGCACACACACACACACACACACACATACAAGGGGGGAGGGAGGTAAAAAGAGAGATTTCTGATCAAATATATCAGAAACCTGATCAAAATGCAATATCGGAAACCTGAAAAACAACACCATTTTTTACCTAATTAAGAACTATCACAAAGTCATATAGTAACAATTCTATGCTCAATCGTGACACACAAAGCTAACAGAAAATTAGCTAAAATTTCTCGAATTATCCCAAATTTTCCTTACAATTAAAAACCCTTAATCTCGAATCGCAGAAAAAATAACTTAATTAGTAGAAATCAAACCGAATTGAAGAAAAAATCATACTTAAATAAGCAGGCAGCAATTAAAGATTAATAAATTCAACCAATTAAGGAGAGATCGAAATTCGAGTATGAGAATGAAGTAGAGCTAAATTTGTAGTGTTGTATTGAAAAATCCAGAAAAAAGAATCAGTATGACGAAAACAATAGAGATTTACCAATTGGATGAGAGAGAAAATAATCACCACCAGCACCCACCTTGTAACCACCCTCTCACCGCCATGAATATCTGAAACTCCACCACAACCACCCAAAAGCCACCCAACCAACTCGCACCACCACCAATTAAAGCCCCACGTCACCAGCGACCACCAACAAACCCACCCAACCAACTCGCACGTCCACCGGCGACCAGCCGACCACCTTACCACCTCAAACAAACCGAAACCCCAACTAACTCGCACGACCACCACCGACCAGACGACCACCAAGGAACCCACCCAACCAACTCGCACGACCACCAGCGAACCGAAACAACCACCTTATTACCACCTCCAACAAATCGAAACCCCAACAAACCACCGCTAATTTAGATCTGAAACCCCAACTTACGACCACCAAGGAAACGAATCGAAATCCCACCACAAAAATGTGAGGACGGGTAGAGGAGAGAAAAGGAGATTATAGAGGGGATTGAGATGAAAGAGAAAAGCGGAGTAGGGTTTGAGAGTATACAGGGGTTTGAGATGAAAGAGGGAGTGAGGGACTACGGAAGAGGAAAAGTAAGATATTGGAGACCGGTTTTTTTTATTTATTATTTAACAATTGCTTTCGCATCCGTTCGAACCGGTGCGAAAACAAACTTTTCACACCGGTTTGATTAAAACCGGTGCGAAAATTCTTTTCCCTAATTCCGCCCTTTTCTTTTACCACCGGTTTTCAAGAACCGGTGTGAAAAGTGCGGTGCTTTATTCATTTTTTCTACTAGTGTTTTGGGCACGGAAATTTTTTAAAGCAAGTGGTGGGTCAAAGTGCTCAGGAATAATATTAAAATGCTCGGGAATCTTTGTGACAGAGTGGTGGAGCCTTATATAGCCCAAATTAAGACAAGGGCAAAATGGTAACTTCATATTAAAATGGGAGCGACGCCTTGTAAATTGGGAGCGACGAATAGCAATTCACTTAAAATAACCTTATTTAAACCCAAACAAAAATTCAAGTCAAATAAGGTCATTTTCAGGTTGACCCGAACCTGAAAAAATCAGGTTCAGGTTGAGGTTTTCTACCCGAAAAGATAAATGGATCAGGTTCAGGTCGGGGGGTAGCTGACCCGAACACGAACCCGACCCAACCTGATCTGATTGCTAACCCTACCGAGTAGGTTGTGGCCGCTCCCCGATTTCTTGGGGACGGTCCTGCTGTTCCTCGACCGCCTAAGGAGTTTTCGGACGGCTTTCCCTCTTCTTCCCTTCGAACAGTTTCTTCTTGGACCGCTTCAGTTTTATGCGGATCCAAGGACTTAAAGCCCCCACTAGTTAACAACTAGGGTTGTTCTTCTTTAGACTGCTTGGGAGCAGCCTGCGGCGTGGTCTTAGCCGCCTGAGATGAAGACTTAGTCTTTTTAGCTACAGTCTTCCGAGACTTGGATGCTTGGCCGTCCTTAGAAGTAGAAGCTGGTTTCTTCCTCTTCGGTTTGGAAGTGGATACCCTTCCCAACAAACCAACTTGGCAATATACAGAAAAGGGCTATGTCCGAGCAAAATTGGAAAGGATATCCTTCCAAACATACCAGCTTGGCCGTTCCTCAAAAAAAAAAAAAAAAAAAAAAAAAAAAAAAAAAAAAAAAAAGAAAAAAGAAAGAGAAATGTTAATAAAAGTGCTGCCAAGTGAAACAAGGAAGGACCCATTTCCCCAAAAACCAGCTCAGACGCATTGAGAATAATTACCTCCTTAGCCTGGTCGTACTGCTACTGGCGGAACTTGTATCGTTCCAAGCTGAAGTCGGACGAGCAGGTCTCCCCTTTTTGCTCGGTGTCTAACTTTTAAAAAGCTTCCTTTATTAAGAAAAGAAAATAAAGTGTTAGATTGTTTTCAAGCTGAGATGATATCCGAACGCTTAGGTCACAAAGTTCCACCTTGGGGATAGTTCTTGTACAGACCACAAGCCGACATGAGCACTGGATCCCTAAGCCAGTTGGCCAGTGGAATTCAGTTAAACGGCACGAACACTAGCTTCCCATTTCTATTCACCTTCTTGACCTTGAAGTACTCAAGTTGGAGCTTGTGGTCAAGGTGAATAGGCGGCTTGGTGGGTTTGTGGTTCCCACGTCTGAGCTGAAGAGGCTAGGCATTAAAGCAGTTCATCTGCAAGTTGAACTCCCTGTCACTTGTCTTAATGCAATAGAATCGGTGCTTCCAATCACGCCATTTGGACGGCTTGTGTATAACCACCAGGTACTCTAGGCAGGTGTTCAAGATCAAGATGAGCGAGTTGTCCGTCTTAGTGTTCATCCGCACCATCGAGTGCATCTCACAGAAGACAGGGAAGTTGGGGGTGAAGCCTTGCCTAAGGCACGTCACCAGATAACCGAACACGTTGACCCTGCTGTTCGACACCAGCTGGAAGAGAGCAATATCGTATTTGTCCAGTAGTTCCCGGACGAATGGATGTAGAGGGAAGCGGAGGCCCACTTCTAAAGCAATAAGTAAACGCTGAAGCTTTTGATCCTGGGCCCTTCACCTTCCCATGCGGCCATTGAGGAAGAACGCCTCGGCGATTGGATATGGTAGCCCCTTCCAAGCTTAAGGAACTTCTTGAAATCATCGAACTAGTGGTTCAGAAAACCAAGAGCCACATCGCCAATAGGACAGGCGTACAAGTCTTTGAAATTAATCGTGTTAAGCTCCTCGGCCGCTTGATCAGCGTTTGGATTCTCTGCCTTATGCTCAGCAGCTTGTAGTTCGATGTCCTTTGTTAAACCAAACTCAAAGGATATCATCGTGTCCAATTCAGCAGCTTCAGGCGAGCTTCCCTCAAGAACCATGGGGTCCTTTCCTTTGGCCTTTCTTTGCTTCCCAGCATCCACGTGATTTCCTGAAGGAGCACCGCGGTGAGAAGGTAGGTCGGTACGCATTGGCAGCAATGTCCGCCTGAACATTTGAAGATGGCCTATGAGATACATGCAGCTCGTTTAGCTCGTCCGAGCTGGTGTGTTGGGTTGAGTGTTGTCTAGGATTCTGACTGGACGACCTACTCCGACCAGACCTAGAGTCCGCCCAAGGGGGCCTCTAAGAAGATAGCAGCTCGGATGGCAACTTGGCCGAGCAAGTATGTCGTGAAGAGCGTTATTTTAGATTTTGATCGGACGCCCCCGTTCCTCAAGTGGAAGACCTAGAGGGGTCCCCTTGTAAATTCTGCCCGGACGAGGAGGGCAGTTACCTCCACCACAGAGCAGGACTCCCATTGAAGTCCACGTCAATATCGTCCAGATTCATTGGAACTAAGAGATTAGTACGAGTGTCGTCCTGATTTCTCGCCGCATCTCACTCGTACGTAGCTCTTGTACATGCCATGTAGGGACAGAGAAGAATAGGTGGGGGTGCGTTGATATGCACTAGAAATGGAGCCGCTCCAAAGAAAGGAGGAGTCGGCCCCATCCACTCTAGACTCCTAAATCCCAGGCGAATGGCCGACCTCATGAGGAGATACGGACGAATCTAATTTTTGTGCCAGTTTGTGTTTAAAAAATAAGAAAAAGTATAAAAATTGAGTCAAAGAAGAAACAGACGGTTACCTTTGTACGAGTAGAAAACTTGAAAAGTTTGAAGTAAGAAGATCATGAGTGGTCAAGTCACAACACCAAGAATTGACCGGAAAACTCAAGAACACGAACGGAAACCTCAAATACACGACGGAGCTCTCGAAGATTAGGGAAGAAAGTTACTTTCTCTTTCTAAAAGCTCTGACTTCTCTCTAGAAAACACAGAAATCCAAAGTGTTTTTATGAAGTCAAACAAGTCTTATTTATAGACAAATTTATGGGGCAAAATGGTAAAATCACCTTTCCCGCCCAAGCGACCAAACTTCTCTTTTTCAAAAAGTTAACCTAAGAGGCCCAAACGGTTATTAAACCATTTCGTCAATAAAGACGGAGAAGGCGTACAGTTAGTATAATGGTCAGTTAAAAGAAATGGCCACGTCAGCAGATTCAAAATTGATTAGCCCAAAAAATAAGGAGGACAGGTTTCTAACCAAATATCAGGCGGCACTACTTGTCCGACTGTTTCCAAAGATTGAGCTCAGATGGAAATCAATCGAACAGCCAAAGACGACTAGCCCAAAAGAGCACTCCCTAATTTCAGACAAAAGGTAAAGTCCCACCCTTCCAGTTGATTGCCAAAAACATTCGAGCGCTCAAACGATAGTGTACAAACAAAATTTTAGAGGAGGTAGCAAACGTGGTTCAAGCCACCCCTCAGAGGGGAAAATGTGTAGGGTAAAAATACCCCGCCACGTGGTCCAATCCGATGGTGACACGTGGCCTAATGAAAGGGCGATATGTGTCCCAATAGAAAGATGACGCGTGGAAAACATGAGAGCACCTGAATAAAAGGCCTCTGTTACATTAGGAGGCCCAATTCCAAAGAGAAGCACCAAGATGGCACCCCCAAAGGACACGTGTCCTTACCTGATTGCGCCGCCAATCAGTGCACTCCTTTTTAGGGCACCAACCCTAGAATGCACACATTCCCACCCCTATAATTACCCCAATCATTAATGATGGAAGGGGTGGATTGAGACATATCATAAAAAAGGCATACAAAGTGCTCTAACTTCTCTCTACTTTTTCTCTCTAAATATCTTCGTTTTTCGGTCACTAACTTGACCGTCCGGAGGCGAATATTTCGTTTACCGGAATATTAGTTTTTTAGAGGTGTCTACGGCCGTTTGGACATATTCACGACCTATATCCTGAGGGATTCCAAAAAAACCCCGAAACAAATATCATATGTCAAAATATCATGTATTAGTAAAAGGGATTACATGCGTATCAATGAACATTAAAGCCAATAAGTTTATCCTAAAATTTTATCAATAATTTGGGCATCGCCCAGGCACAAAATTAGTATATATATAAAGTCGAGTTTTTTCCCGAGTTTTAGAGAGCCACGTAGGATTAAACTTTAGTTATAGCCAATTAAATAAGAGCTTTGTAATTTCTTTTAGGATTAAACAACTTAAATGTCACATAAGCAAAATTGGTGAATGAGATTTAAAAGTTTAAATTAATTAAATATAAAATATTATCTTTTGAGATTAGGAATTTTGTCTATATATATAACGAATAAAATAACAAATTTTATCACATACATACAAAACATTTGTTTTAAGAAAAATACAAACAAACTATGTATCGCAAGGGCTTTATCTAGTTTAATTGACTTAAATAAAATTAGTATCCAATTAGAAAACTAATTCTAATTAGGCCTTTATGATAAAGGCAGAGAAAAAGAAAGTATACAAAACCTTAACACCATTCTTATCACATAGTCAAAGATCAAGCTAGTTATATTGTACTAAAAAATGCCAACATATTAAATTTGAGCACTTTTTAATTGCTTAGCCTGAACATTAATAAATGTGTTAGATTTTAACAATTGACTTATTAGAACTTCATACTGATCATAATATATAATGGAGTTCTTGCATGTATATATGACCTTATATTATTAAAGATTTTCTTGAGGAATCTACCAAACTATCACTTTGTTTTTGTCTTTTTTTTTTTCTCTTTATCAAGTGAGAAGGAATAATGTGCTTATTCATCTAGCAATTAAATTACTAGTGTGGACTATGGTCTATGGAGAAGATAAGTTTTGTACGTAATCGGAAGAAAAATCTTTCTCTATAATTATACGCAACACTTAGTTTCTTTGATATGATATGAAAAATTTAGAGACATAAAACCAAACGTTATTTTTTTTTTTTTTTTTTGACATGAATTGAAAGTTGTTAACTTAAGGAAGATCAATTTTAAGTTTATACTTCCTCCGTTTATATTTGATACGGAGTAATACATTTCATTTAGGCACATTTGCCAATACATACTTCTAATGCAAATATCTTGATTAATTATATAATAGCAGAAATTATAAAAGTTTTATATTTAAAAATCAGATTTTGAGAAGAATCTAACACGATCCCATTATACTTAGCTTTATCTCAACACGAAATCACAAAACAAAGTCAAAGCAAGTAATTATGTAAATACGGAGTAGTGCGCAAAGTCAAAATGTGTCATCTAATTTGGAAAGGAGAAACATCACAAACAACTTAAAAAATTGGAGAAAAAAAACATCACGATGAGCTTGCGTCTGCGGATATGGAGGTAACGGTAGTGTGGATACGCCGGGGTGGAGAAGGAGGTGACCGAAGTTACGATACGTGGGGGTGATGTGTGTTTGAGGGGAGGTGTAGGTATGCGAGTGACCTAGGTAGCTTTGTAAACCTTAACTTCACAAGTAAGTTATCTGAGTTTGTTAAGTGTAGTGGAGTAATAAAAAGATAAAGTGGAAAGTAGTATTTTTAGTACAAAGCCTATGCTTATGGCCATGGAAATAGTGTTATGCATTATTTTTGTTTGTGTGTGCTTAAAATAAAGTACATTAAGAATAATGTAATTAAATAACATTTTACTATATGCTAAAAATGTTTGTTACCCCTAAAAGGCATCTTGCATGTTACATCATATGCAAGGTGATGAAAGTTGAAAAAGTTATACCAGTAATTATATGCAAATTAAATAAGGTTGTCAACACTATAAATTGTACTTCGACCTTTTCTTTTAGTGCAAGTGTGAATCAACATCCACTCAAACCTCTTTTTTTTTTACTTATTTTATTGTTTTTATCTTTTTTTTTTTACTTATTTTTACCTATACGTTTCAAAAAAAAAAAAGTATAGTACTATTTAAGAGCTTAGCTTACTAATGATTACAAGTATTTAGCTACTATAACATACATCAGAGATTGGCAAATTGTAAGTGTGCGCTAGCTAACTTCCCTCCTAGCCTAATGTAATTCACCTAAAAGATTCTCTTTCATACACTCCCACCCTCCTCCTGCTCCTCCTCCTCCTCCTCCTCCTTCTTCTTCTTCTTCATTCTCCGCCAGTTTTATTTCTACCTTTACTACTTCATAATGATAGGAAGACCTGGAACAAGGATTGGGTTGGCGTTAAGAGTCGATCAAGGGACTTGTGCAACCATCACCTTTCTGATCATGTTATTGGCAAATAAGTCAGCGTTTTACGCATGTACGATTTTCAAGTAAGGGTATTTTTTTAAATATGTTTTATTCTACATAAATGATGATTATATTAGTTAATTAAACAAATCTCCAAATACATCCTCATAGCAGCTAACTCATGAGCAATACAATTATTTACCCTACGAATGTGCTTGATTTCCTCATCTTCAAGCTTTTTAATTTTGGTAGCAACATCATTGATGACTCATCATGGTTAATTTTGTTTCTTATAGTAGTGAACATAACTTGAAGAGATAAGGCAGGCCGCATCAATTTAAAGCTCAACTTTTCCAACTTTAAAATTTTTATTATCTAGTTAACACAAAAATTGATAGTGGGGATTTCATATGTGTTTTGATTCAGCATATTATTTTATCTATGGGGATTCAATTTTTATGGAATCTCGGAGTTGCAATCCTTGATATTATGACGATGAGGAGGAACTTAAACCTCCGGTCGCTTTCGTGGTTGATGTTTTTTTCCGCGAGAGATTGCGTACGTAATCAATACATTATTATTTTAAAATTTTGATTTATTATTGTACGATGTTTATAACATATTAACTCACACTTTACATTAAAATTTTTACAGTTGTTCGTTATGTTTTCACTCTCTGAAGCATGCTCAATCAGAGAAGGATAGAAGAGGAGAAAACTAAGAAAGCAGGAAGGGAGGACTGAGATTTGTTAGCAAAATAGAAAAGCAACTACTGTTTTTGTGCAATGTCGCGATGACCGTTAATTGTACATCTATAATTAATATTATATTGTATCAATATAAAAATATAAATTCATGTTTTACTATATATTACATATTATATATTATATTGCACATATACATTATGTATATATATATATTTGCTACATATAAATAAGAGATATAGACTTTAGTAAACAGTATACATAGCTTATATTTATGAGATAAAGATAAATGTGCTAGGATATTTACAAAACATTCTTGTAGCCATAATATTCTAGAATGATCACGAATTATGTTTCTTGTTGCTTTCAATGTAAAGAATTCTCTAGAACATTCAAGTAGATATCTCTAGCTTAGAAAAAACATAAGCAAGTCCAAACCTTGCTTGATTTGTATTGAAGCTTCTAAAATATGCACAAACACTCCATCGAAACAATGGGCCTATAGAAATTGGGCCACACCCAACAGTTGAAATTCAAAGAAGGCATTCGAGTCGATTATTCTGCCTGTCTCGGGGAGATAATGATGATAACAAAAAACTAATGTCAATGGCGTGAGTGCGTGACATCCGTTGTAGCAACTAAACTAACCATGTAATCTGTAATCAAGCACCTTTGTGGGGTTAGCAATAGTAGGCTATTGACTTCTTGGGGGGAAAATCATTGTTTGCAAGATAAAGTGAGTTCTTCCCTTGCTACTTTGAAACGTTTGAGTTACTTGGACCTTAGCCTCAATATTTTCCACAGCTAACCCATCCCTAGTTTTGTTGGTTCCTTTATTTAAAAGGAAAATTTGTCAAAAATAAGCTAACCTTTGGTCGGTTCGCTCAAAATATTGCACTGGACAAACATTGCACTGCACAAACATTGCTATTGAGTGGGCTGATGTAATGTTGAAGTCTGACTGGATTATGTACCTAGCAACTGTGGTTCAGTCATCCTTCTTTCACGCTAAGTTGACATGGACACACTTCTTTGGATTTAACATCATCTTATGCTGCCTGAGTTCGGTGAACGTGTCTTGGAGATCACTCAAACGATCGGCCGACTTTTTTGATTTGACAATCATATCAACAATATAAGCCTCCATGTTTTGGCCGATCTGATCTATAAAGACCGTATTTACGCGCTGAAATGTAGGTGGGGCGTTCCTTAAGCCGAACGGCATAACTTTGTAACAGTACAACCCTTGCTCTGTCACGAAAGGTGTTTTCTCTTGATCCTTTTCCCACAAGGGGATTTGGTGAAATCTAGGTCTCGGTAATTTTGAGATTGCTTTTCCAATTGAAAACCCAACAACCCTTCGATAATTAATGATAGGTCATGCCAAAGTTGGGTGTCATTTTTATATCTTAGGTAACTTGGGGTAAATCAAGTTTTACAATTTTAAAACTACTTGATTATTGCATGTTACGGCTACCTTGCATATATATGATGGAATCATTGTCAAATTCAAACTATTGGTATAAGCTTCGTAAACCACTCTGGGTAATCCTGAATTTTTAATAATTGATTTATTTTTTCACTTTTATTCTTTTATCTTGGCTTTTATTTTAAGAAAAAAAATATTTTATATTAGCTGATGATAATATTATCATGTTAAGTACAATTGTGAGGATAAGTATTTACTGTTGTGATAACAACGCTAAGTCGCTAAGTGATAAGAATGCTAACTACATCAACAATTTAACAATTTAAAGTGATGAGAATGCTACGTGATGATAATGCCAAGTGATAAGCTAAGAATGCTAACTATATTTGACTACACAAATATTATCATATTAGTTTTCTGAATTCAATATTTATTTATTTTTTTTTTTTGCTAAATCATTAATAGTATGAGGAGGAAGTAAACTGATTATTAAAAAGTTGTGAATTAAGTTGCTAAATATTTGCTTTCGTACATTTATTTAATTTAACAATTGTGTTTTAGATATTGTTTTGAAGCTTTGGATAAGAGTTTGAGAGATATTCACATATTTTCTAATGAACAAAGTTCAAAACAACCTTTTGGTGGAAAAACAGTTGTCCTTGGAGGTGATTTCCGAAATTTTTTACCTGTTATCCCTAAAGGAAGTCGGCAAGCTATTATTTTTTCGACCATCAATTCATCTTATGTATGGAATTCATGTAGACTACTAAAGTTGACAAAAATTATGCGACTTCAGATCGGAAGTTCTGACATGGCTTCAAATGAGATTAGAGAATTTTCTAAGTGGATTTTGAGAATAGGAGATGGTATAGAGGGGGGTGCAAATGATGGTGAAGAAAATATAGAGATCCCGAGCGATATTTTAGTAAGAGATGAATCAATAGATCCTATTACAGCAATTATAGATGGTGTTTATCCTTTTATATTGCAAAACTCGGAAGATCCAATTATTTTAAAGAGAGGGCCATTCTTGCTCCTACCTATGATTGTGTAGAGAATATAAATGAACATTTGTTGTCTTTAGTTTCAAGAGAAGAAAGGATATATTTAAGTTCAGATAGTATTTTCAAAACAGATAGAAATATGCAAAATAATGAAGAACTATATTCATCTGATTACTTAAACAACATCAAATGTTCTAGCTTGCCGAATCACATCCTTAAGTTGAAGATTGGTGTCTCTGTTATGCTACTTAAAAACATAGACCAACCCTCTGATTTTTGTAATGGAACTCGATTAATCATAACGCAAATGGGCAATCATATCATTGAGGCTAAAATTATATCGGGAAGCAACATTATTGGGCATAAAGTTTTTATTCCTCGCATGATCTTAAGTCCATCTGACATAACATTGCCATTCAAATTTCAACGAAGGCAATATCCATTGGTGGTATGTTTTGCAATGACTATAAACAAAAGCCAAGGCCAGTCTCTTTCAAATGTAGGCTTATTTATATCAAGGGTTACAAGGAGAAGTGGTTTGAAAATTTTGATATGTGAAAAAGAAGGTCGGATTTACAATACTACAAATAATGTAGTATTCAAAGAATTATTTCAAAATTTGGCATAATGGGTACATTACTTCTCCTACCTTACAACAGAATATTATTGTAATATGAACTCTCTCTTCTTCTTTTTATATCCTTTTTATTTATTTATTTTGATTTATTTTTTATTGGGATATCAGCTATTAAGTACCCGGCCAACTTCATGACACTCATTGATAGTGTGACTAATAAATTAAGGATCAATCAATTATTATGATATTTTTATTTTTGTATTTCATTTTATTTTATTTTCGTATATTTATTGAGATACATCTTATGGTATATCACATTAATATGTTATTTTTTCTAAGTTTTTTTACTTCCAATGATTATGTTTTGTATGTAACTTTTCAAATAAACGAATAACGAAATACTACTGTAAAATCGTGCATGGCACGGGTTTTGAACTAGTTTATAACTAAATCAATTCAAACAAATAATTGAAATTCAAGCAAATACAAAGCTCTCATAACTTATTTGAATTTATCTTATTTACTTATCGATCCTTATCTGATTTTATCTTTTATGAATAGGTACATATAACAAGGTTCTGGATAACTTAAAAAATGATTCTCCACATAATATTACTATTATTATTGATTAGGGGATTTAACCCTGCCAAGTGGACCAATTGAACTCTACCACGTGTCATCCACGTGGACCAACCAGAGTCTGCCACGTGTCACCTCGTGAGAGATCCATGAAAGGAATGGTGTCCTTCCAACAAGTGTATTATTCCGATATAGGGCAGAATTATAGAAAGCTAATTCCTTAGTGAGGTCAAGTGATCGAAATGCTTAGGTGGAGGTCGCTTTCGATCAGTAATATTAATATGTAATTAATATTACAGCTTAATCTTGACTGAACCCTTCGGGTCACACCCAATCGAGTAACCAATCCGAGACCACAAATTAATCCGAAGGATTAAATGAGTCGTTAGAGTATTACGAACAAAGACGTCAGATATCGAGCTTAGAGCGTCGAGACCGAGCGTCGCAAGTCGAGTCGAATTTAGAATTCGACAGACGAGAAATCAAGCAAGCGACAAGTTCGAGCTAAGTCGTAGCCTCGCATTTGCCTAGCAATGCGAGTGATAGGCTAGCTCAAGATGCCATGCGCATCACTAGGCATACCGCTAGCATGCTAGCAAGGCTGGTGCACTAGGCCGCAAGCATACTAGCAGCTAGCGCATGCTAACGTGCTAGCTTGCTGAGCCACGCACCTAGCCACACCATCGTTAGCTCAAGCACAACAACAATGCGCTATGTGTGCTGTGCTATGGCGATGTGTGCTAGCATAGCAGCCTCACTCATCGCAGCCTCTCGCACACAGCCACGCATCGCACCATCGCCTAGCATTGCGGCCTTGGCAGCCAAGGCAGGCGCAAGGCGCCAGCTAGGCAGCCTTGGAAACCAAGACAGGTTGGCTGCCAGCTATGCGTGGGCTGCTCTTGTGTTTTGGTGGGGACCGTAGCTTGGTAGCCTTGCTTGGGGAGCAAGGGGATTTTTGGTCCCCCCCCTTAGTGGTCCTTACCTACCTTTGCTCACCCTTTTGCCACTTGTAGCTTGTTGATTGAATTGCATTTTATTTTGTTTTTTGATTAAAATAAAATAGAGGAAAATGCAAATCTCCCACATTGATGGGAGAATGGAGATCAAGTCTCCATTCCCTATAAATACCCAAGTTTTGGGTTTTGGGAAGAACACTTGAGTTGAACTTAATAAGGCATCTCCCTATAGGTGAGAAAACCTTTAAGTTCGTAATACTCTAGTCTTTTCTTGGTCTAGCCCCGACTAACCTTCGGGGTAGAGGCCGTTTCGGTCGGGTCTCGAGGGTGGACTCCGTCGGAGGCTCTCGCGCTTACGGAGCTAAGGCTTTGTAGTCCGAGCTCTATAGGAGCGAAGCACACGTCGAGGGTAAGAATGCCTTTTCTCTTTCTCTCTCTTATGTTGTTAATTATGTGATTAAATATTTAGTTGCTTTAATTAGTGAGCGGGTCTTGGGCGAGTTTCTCTTCCGCATAGCGTTGGACGCTACGAAACCCAACAGCGGTATCGGAGCCGCGCTCATTTTAATTATTGTAACTAATAATTAATTGAGGTGATTTAAAATGGATTTAAATTCTG